GATCTCTACAAAGGACACTTGCTTCAACCCCATGCCAGCATTATTTGACCTTTGAGATACGGACAACCTCTCAACAAGGGACAAAATGGTTAGCCCATAGTGTCCCTTGTTTTGAGGTTCCACTATGTCAACAATACCTGCACACAAACTAACCCACTGCAAAACACATAATGATGTTCCTATGTAGGAAGGAAGAAAGGAGATCTTAACTAACCCATGGCAGAAGCCGACACACTGCCAGGCAGACACTAGGTGGGCAGTCCTCACACACAGATCTCTGAAGAAGAGAGCAGTCCTGGCTCTCCTGTCCTCTGGCTCCTGGATATGAACCTGGGACACACCACGTCCACATGGGCTCAAGTTGCATTACAAACTATATAAAACACAGCCAATAGTGTGTGTGTAGTGTGCGCAAGTGTGTGTGTGTGTTAGTGGCCAAACAAAGTGCACAGGGTGTTATGTAACTCAGAAATTGGCTTAAAAAAGATGATGTGAGAAAGATACATACCTGAGGGTAGTAGGACTGAGTGACACCTGTCTCCCTATCCCTCGCCTTGAATATCTCAAATGATCCAAATCTAACATTTTCAAAAAAGAAGACCACAGGGGGTTGTGTAAAATTAATACAGGGTTTGTATGTTCAAAGATGTGGCAGTACTCTTTTACTGGGCCCTATTGATATTTAGCCCTCATAGAGTCACATTCCCTTTTCCCTTAAAGGGAATGTGACTGTATTATAAGGGCTAAATTTACTAAAAACGGAACTCTTCCACTGTGCCCCTCTTGTTTTGTTCTGTCTTTAGTACATTTCGTATACTGCCACATTCCCTTTAGAGCTTCAGGGTTGTTGCAAACTTACCAGTAACTACACAAGGTCAGTATAAATCCCAGGAGGAAATAAAGGTACGTTCAATTCACAAATGAGGACCATACTGTAAGCAGTGTGGATTGTGAAGGAGAGACCTGATAAAGGTGGGGGCAATTCTGGTGATGACAGTACACCTCTCCTGGATGGGGTTGCCACTGTAGAGAATGTCTCTGGTCACAGTGTCATCTGATGTGATACAGGAACCAGCTGAACACCAGGGAGAAAGACATCCTCTACCACCACGTGACTTCTCAACATGCTCGAATTTACCTCTTGTAGTTGGAATTTCAAGATAATGCATGGCCTGGTGGATGCATAAAAATGGGAAAGTTTCACCTGCCATTCAAATCTCAGTGTGTACCTCAGAGCAGAGGAATTCTCTGATTGAGGAGCGGAGGAGCTTCCTGCCATCAGCAAACCTTGAGTAGGGGGTCCTCCCCGATCCCTTTAACTGCAGCTCCCACCTCTGACCTCCTGAACCCACCACCTCTCCCAGGTAGCTGAGAGAGAGAGTGTGTGTGTGTGTGAGAGAGAGAGAGCAAAAGCCCCGGTATGCCATAATCACACCCTGGATGGTGAAAGCCTGCATTGTAGATACTAATAAACAATGAAAAGCACTAAAGTGCAAACCCTCGGCGAACTGGGGATGCGCGGTACCGCTAATTGATGGGCTGGGCTGCTATTAGTATGCGTTTACTCACGATCTCCCGCTAGTAGCTCGCAGAGAGTCTGACATGGGCTAGCTGCAGTAGTAGAAAGTATGCGAGAGTCGATACACGCCCTTCGTTGTGACTTCTTGTGCCTTCAAGATACACAGAGCAAGCGGACCCGGTCGAGGTTAAAGCATATAAGCGCATGCGCGTTTTCCGCAGCGATAAAAATGGCCGACTAGCATTAGCCGTACAATGGCGGAAGCGCTCTAGCTTTGAAACAGAGCAGAAAAACACAGCCATCTCCCAGTTGTCCAGAGAAGTGTCCAAACTGGTGGCCACAGTAGCAGTGAGAGGCCGGCTCTGAGCCTGGCAGTATCTTGTTCCCACTCATGTACTCCACAAACTCTGGTCGTGACACCTGTACACATTAGTAGTCATGTTCACAAGTGGATGGACACATTGAAAAAGGACACCTTTCTACTAAGGATGATGGACGCGTATGAAAGGATTCAATATTTGATGCACAATATCGTAGATGAATACTAAAACAGCACATCAATAATGCAAAATGGAGAGTGACCTGGTCAGGAGAGAGTCCCAGAAGATGGAGGGCAGACGGAGAGTGGGCCACAAGTCGAGGATTGCTCAGAGGTGTGGGTCGGACACGGAAAAGCACGCACCTTTAGTCAAAAACAGCTGTTAGGCCATTGTTTCATAACAGAATAGGTAACATGGTACTTCATACCAAACAGCAGCGATAGAAGCCGACCTGCCACACTCCTGACATCGTTTTGAGTCTCCGGATCTGTGGGAAGACTCTTCATAGCTCTGTTGTCAAACACCAGGTGTTCCAGGCTGCTCATGTTACCCGCAGTGGCTGCATGCGCACTCCGCCCATTGCGCATGCGCATAAGTGAAGACTGCAGCGCGGGGGGAGCCGGCCATTACTCGTTGCGCGTAGTCGCGGAAAATCGTGATAAGAGACAGACAGACAGAGACGGACACACTCACGAACCAAGGAACGTAACCCTAGCTGCGCATGCGCGCTGAGGGCTAATAAACTCATACTTGAGAAAACTACACTGGTTTTGGAAGCCATTGACATCCACAACAAAAGTACAAGTAAAGACCAAGATTGCTGTGCAGGTCCAGATGCTGTGATGTTACTGATTGGAACCAAGAAAGACAGGGTCACCAGCCTACCTCTGAGAGAGGTCCCCTTCAATCAGGCAATGTCATAACATGCTGCCACCAAACACATGCTGGACGCCATCGAGACCAAAGACAACACAAACATTGAGGCCACCTTCATGGCCCGGGCTCTGTGGTGGAAGAACGAGGGTCTGAGCTCAGTGGCAGACACAGAAATGTCCTTCAGACTCAGTACTCAGATGGTGGAGGAGGGAAAGGCCACGTCTGCTCCTCCTGCTCAGTCTTATGATGTCTGTCCCCTGTATTGGGTGGTCTCTTGTGTATCTTGTGTACTTGTGTAAAGTGTGTTATCCTTTGAGTGATTCATTTCTGGTGTATGTCTCTCTTCACACGCTGTACTACAATATTTTGTACATAGTGGTAAGAACTTCAATATACTAGCAATTACTAATTGGATATATTATTGTGTGATTGTATCAGTGGTGAGTAAAAAGCTGTGGCGGATCTAGGATTTTGAAAGGGGTTTTCCGCTGTCCGTCCAGAACGTTTTGGCGCGCACACGACAAAAAGGGGGGTTCCTTGGACAGCCACTGAAAAAGTTTAGATTGGTTTACACTTCAAAAGGGAGGGACTTACTGAGAGCATTATGCAAAAGACTGTGAATGTTGTAGTTATAGGTTTGGGTTGTCAGCCTCCTATCCAGTGTCCATGCTTTGCAATTCAGAAAAAATTAAAACATGACTGTATATAAATGAGCAACGCATAAGTGAGGAAATTTTTTAACAGAATTTCTCATTTATTGTTTGAGCCATTACTACTTCACCAATAGTTTGCAATGCTTGTACGACTTTCTGCCATGACAGATCTGGATCTTCTCTGAGAACAAGATTAAGTGTATCTAGCAGGGCAGTTCTTGCATCACCTTTGTGATCGGTCTTGATTGTGTTCAACTCTTCAATATTGCTTGTCAGTTGCAACCCAAACTCATACCATTTGGTGGTACGAATGTTGTTGAACAGATCTCTCAGGTTTGGATGACTTGGCCCCTGTCTCGCTTGCTCCACACTTGCTCCAGCAGTGTCTGCTTGGTCTCGACGATAAGAAAGCGTCTGTGAAGGCTGGAGGGCGTGGGACGGACTGGATAAGGAGCTCTGTAGGGTAAGGCCTGAGGGAAAGGCAAAAAGATTAATTGTGAAAATTTTGCATGGGATATTACTCACCAGTTTGTCGTAGTTTTGGCTTTAGTATGAACCGTTCTCCCGGTTCCCGGATCCCAACTATCTCCACTGGAATACTTGGAGAGATGGTACTTGATGTTGCAGACTTCTCAACTTCCAGAAGAATCATTTGGGGATAAGGATGCCTCTGATGAGAATCCACCATTTCTTTTGTTAACTGTGGACAACACGGTAGTCATAAACAGTACACACACACCAAATTCTCCCACTCACTTCACATGGCTCTCTATTGGGAGTAATCACCCAGCCAGTATTGGATGGCCACTGCAATTTTACCCTGTCCCCTTCAATACTGATTGGGACGGAGGAGGCTGACCAAAGTTGAGTCGAATATTTATTAACATGTTCTTCAAGTTCCTAACAAAAGACTATGTTACAGTAGCAATGATGTAAGAAGAAAAACTTACAATAAAATACAGTTTCTGGTCAAGGAATGCCGAGAAAATAGCTGTATCTCCAAACTGCCTATCTTGATACACTTGGTAAACATATCTGTTTTCATCTAGAAGTAGGCTAATAAATTTAAAAAGGATGACAATTCAAGTATATCTCACCCCTTGGCTTTTTACTAAGAGGACTGTCTGAAGGAGACGAGTGCTTCTTGCGCTTGCGACCAGCACCAACATAACAGAAGTGAGTCAGTGAAATTCGGCCATAATCCTGGCGAGGCTCAAAAACCCCTTTTCCAAGGACTCTGAACTGATATGCTGGCTTCTTGCCAGCCCGTTTTGTGTTAGGCGTGGAAGGTGCAGAGAGGAAGACCATTCTCTCACTGTCCTCCACAGTTTCTAGGTTAGAGAAGTGCCACAGTGTCAGAGTTATTTCTCGAGAGAATTTAAACGAGGGAGATATGAGGAAGACAGGGCTGGCTAGCTCATAGCCATCTTGTAAACGGAATGGACCATTATAACAGGGCCAGACACTCAGATCCAGCTCTCTGCCCTCGGGGACTGCCCCGGGAGGGATGTCAAACTCCACCCCTATCTCCTCCCTCCAGGTGATGTGAGCACCAGCTGATGTCACCGACTGCTTCCACGGACCGCGGAAGAATCGTATTCCTGGATGTTTTCTATCAACCTTGTAGCTGGAAGGATTCTGTGACTGTAATAGTAAAAGTGGCAAAACATTAGCTTTGTTCGCATGTCGTATTCGAAGACATTAGTACAATGAGTTAGCTGAAAAGCTGCAAAGGAGCTCATCCTGTCCTCAAGAAAACTTTGTCAATGTAATTCCCCCGCTATTATTATGGAAACATCGTTGTTCTATGATAATAGTGACCTCTGACTGGTCGTTTTTGTCAGCTGACTTGAGACGTCTATCCAGGTCATTGAAGATCTGGACTGCTATCTGTCCCGTCCTGTTCACCAGGTTCCTCAGAGCCTGGACAAAGAGAGGAGTACAGTGTTTGTTGGATGAATCAGTCTGATGTGGAGGCACACAGGTAGGCCTTGACAAAATTTGCTTTTTCCCCTACCTATTTTGCTTTTCTTTTATGCTCAGTATTTGTACCCATTTTCCTTTTAAGTGTACCCATTTTGCTTCTTATTAACCCTCGGCGCGCATGCGCAGCAAGGGTTACAGTACTTGGGTCTGTCTGTGTGTGTGTGTGTCTGTCTGTTACTCGTCATCTCACTTCTCGAGTGTTCGTTCGTCTCACAAAGGATACCACCTACTGAACGGGCAATGAAGGTCAGAAAATATGTGGGGTTTTCTCTGAAACTGCTCCGTTGCAGAGCTAGAGCGCGAAAAAGCTAATATGCAAATAGGCAACAGACGGGACGGCTTACCACGGTCTGATCGATCCGCGTGCTCTGCGTACCTCAGAGGCACCAGAAGATGCAACGCAGGGCGTGTATCGCCTGTCACATGCTATCTAGTAGTGTAGTTAGCCCGCGTCAGACTCTGCGCGAGCTGGGAAGAGACCACGAGTAACAGCTAAAACTAAACCCAGCCCATCAATTAGTGGTACGGCGCATGCGTTTACTTACGCGTGCGCGTCACAATGCGCCGAGGGTTTGCACTTCAGTGCTTTTCATTTTAGTATTAAAAAGTCACTAAGAATATAGAGGAAAAATGAGGACGCCATGGTAGAGTGGTCGAGGAAAAATGAGGACACCATGCATCCATGATACCATACTAAAGAACTGAGTCATCGCGAACGAGTGTTGTATTGTAACATTACTGAAAATTCGACATCATGTGCGTGCATGCTCGGTAAGATATTGCGCGGTTGTAGTTTTAGCGCACTTCAAGTGCAAGTCCAATTTCCTACTTGCCTATTTAGCTTTGTTGGATCAAATTTTCAGCCCATTTTGCTCGCAGAATTGCTTTTTCTTTTGGTTGCCTATTTTGCTAGAAATTTTGCTAGCAAATTTTGTCAGGCCCTACACACAGGTGAACAGACCTGAGATATGTTTCTTCTTCCTATTCTCTGATGAGAGGTGATCTGGGTGGTATCTATGATGTCCTGTTGAGTGGGAGGAGTGTCCTCATCAACAGTAGAGCTGTCCTGTTGAGTGGGAGGAGCACTGTCATGGCCACAGTCTGAAGACTCCTATATACAGTAAACAGTGAATTTTGGCACAAGACACAGCAATCATCCTCCATAGTTTAGTATACACACATGCACAATGATCACAAACAGATCGACACTAAACCAATAGCACATAATGTAACGTGCTTTATATACACAGGGATACTTCTAAACCACACCCAGAACCCACACACAGAGTGATACTCACATGATGACTGGTTGCGGCAGTTGGTTCTTCTTTACAATGTTCCCTCAGAAGACTAATGACTCCCTCATAGTTATACTGAGGTCTCTCTTCCCTGTATTCGTCATAAGGCCTCCCTTCCTCTCCTTCCTCAGCCTTGACCTCAGCAATCTCCATAGCTGTCAGTCCATTCTTTACAGGGAATGGAGAGAGATCAAAGAGTTGATGAAGATACTCAGGAGATGAAGGAAGATGATTCCTGTTGCTAGCCCTACCAGGCTACCACAAACCTTGTCTTTGAGGTGAGGACTAGCTCCTGCCTTCAGGAGTACTTGTGTGGTATCCCAGTCTCCTCTCTCAGCAGAGAAGTGGAGAGCTGACCATCCTGTGCCCTGTGGAGAGAGAGGGAGAGAAAGAGGAATCAGTTGCCATGGAATTTAAACAAACTGCTGCCCATATTCTGGAGTACCAGCCTAGATCTCAGGCCTTCTACCCTATAATGTATACACCTTAAACCATGCGCAAAGTTAAAGAGGGAGAATCCTTAAAAGTTTTTTCATTACGTGGCACGAAAGACGTCACACCCATAAGCTATACACATAATTTATATGTACGAGTGACATAGTGTGACGTTTGTGCCATGTATCATGGAATGAAAATCTTCTAGGTCTTCTCCCCCCCCCCCCTTCTGAGCACAGTTCAAAGGTCACCCAAATAATAATAATTATTATTATAATATGTGGGGAGGAGGGAGAAGGCCTGGGATCATGCTACTCGAGTACTTCATTAGCTCATGCATGCCTGAGTGGGGGTTAGAGTACTGCACTCTTCCAACACCCCTCATTCCTGTAAATGGCATGTTGAACTACAAACCAACATTTCTTGAGAACATGAAAGCACTCAGCCAGCCTATAAGTTGCTTCCTCTGGGTCTCCTATCATATTTGTATACTGATGTTCTATGATACGAATTTGAATTTACAACTTTTTAAGCTGACACCCTTATTCGCGTACTCAATGTGAACAGGAAAGGCAAGGTTAGTAGCCTAGGTTTCCTCACATTCTCCTGAATGTCCACGTTGATGTGTTTTCCCTCCAGTAGAAAGTTAGTAATGTCAGTTCTCCCACTCCTGGCAGCTATCATTAGGGCAGTGAGCCCCTCCTAATATGGAGGACGGGGATGATATGTGGTGCAGTGTCAACAGTAACTGTGTATCTCACCCGGTTCTGGAGGTTGAGGTCACTCCCTGCCCTCACTAGCACCCACACAGTGGCTGGTTCATAACCCACTACAGCTCTGATGACTGCAGAGTCTCCATCCTGGTGGAGAGAGTGGAAACTGAGACAGTGGGAAAGCCATGTACAGAGCTACACTACATGTCTGGAGGTCATCATGGAGAGAGTCTGAGTTACAGGACCAGCAAAACAGACAACAAACACCCTGTCTCTGTAAGGTGCTAGTGGAAGACAGACTCTCTCTCATGACACACACCAAACATGAGAATGTGAGAGATATGTACATGTAGATTCCTTGGCTAACAGAAGAGATTCTCTCTCTATCATCTCACTAGAGGAGGCGAACAAGTTATATAGTAGTTACAACTGACG